AAATCTTTGACACAAAGAGCATTATCATGGGACAAAAATATCCTGCTGTATCCAAAGATAACACAATGCCCCATTATTGTTTCTATCGATTACTGACTTAATGATAAGGTAAAAATCTAAATCTTTACACTTTATGTGTGGCATTCCTTCCGGTCAACAAAAAATATAAACATGCCTAAAAGCTGGAAAAGGCATGGTCACCCCAAAACACTCGGGGGGGGGGGGAATAAACACTTTTAAAATTAAAACCAGAGGTGGAATACTATCCATCTAGTGTTCATTTGGGTGAGTTATGGTACTCTGAAGGGAGAAGATTTGAAGTATTTACCTACTGGGTGTAATATTTGCTCTTTGGATGTTTCAGAGTGGCTCGATATCTATACATTGACAACCCATTCTTCTGCAAATACAGAACACACAGATTAGTCTCCGTGGTTGGATAAATGATCAATTCTACTTCTAAGACCAGCATCAGATTCTTAAAGGGAATGACAGTACAAATCTTAATACAGGCCATTATAAAATAACGTACTTAGAAAGAATGCTTCATTTTAAGCTTATTTAAAATCAGACTGTAAGAGAGCTCACATACTTCAATGACTTTCTAGTCAGCTTGCTGCCCCATGGCAGGATGAATTGCCTCTCTGGTATTCCTGACAGACATTGTCTAAACTGTTGACGAGGATTCCACAACTTGCTTAGACAACCTACTTCAGTTTGTCATTTCCTGTCACAAGGTTTTTCCTAACACCTAACCCAAACCTCCCATACTGTAACTGAAACTTCTTATCTTCATCATCCTGGACACAGGGTCCTCTCCCTGCAGATTTTTACGTATCTGAAAATTTTAGGTTATTTCCCACCATGCAGGTGACAGGATCCTGGTTCTTTCAAATCTTTCTTCTTTATTCAAAGCCCTGAAAACACAGAAGATAAGGTACAGGGCTAATACAGATTTCCAAATCCCTTATTTACTAAGGAACATGTCCTACCCATCTGACATTTTCATCACAGGGGCCAAGAAAGTGACAGATCCCCACCACTGGAGTTAGATTTCAAAAAGCAGTACCAAGGTCAGGAAGCAGTGTCAGGTTTATGGTTGGACTCAATGATCTTAAGGGTTTTTTCCAACCTAAATGATTCCAAGCAGAGTCTGCAGAGATGCACACGTCACCCCTGTTTGTGTTTTGCCTAGCAGGCAGATAGTTGGAGGTTCAGCTTCTACGTCTGTCAAAGGGGCTATAGTTCATTTGCATTGAAAAATAAAAAACAAGAACAGAAAAGATAAGAATCGTCTTGATCATAATGTGCAGCAGACTATCCATGTTATCAAACAGCCTTGACTACAATCCTTTGCCACTTTCTGTCTGAAAGCAGGAGTGCTTTACCTGCATCTAATGTAGGACATGAAGAGATAAAGGCAAGGCTTTAGGAATATGACAGGTGGCCACAAAGAAAACCTGATATATTATCTTCTGGCGAGAGCTCACCTTATAAGATACATTTGCAGACTTTTAAATTTTACTTGTAAATACTTAGGATTAAATCCTGGTTTTACTGGTCTCTCAGTGAGATTTTAGCAGTGACTTAATAACAGTCATAATTCATGCTGCAGGGATATGAATTACAGAAAGAACTACACCTGTAAAATGGTATTTTTAACTGTTTCTTAAGATCTCTGTATATATCACACTGTCCTTAGTATACTGCCCTGACAGTCTATATGGAGAACATCATCCACAAGAGTTTAAAAACAACAGTTTTAAACATTCAAACATTATTTTCAGTGAAAGTAACATCCATTTCACAACAGCACGCTTTAACAACACTGAGATGATTCAAGGAAAAGCTAAATCCTCCATCTTAAAATTCTGGCATGAAATTGGTTCAAGATTTAGCAACTGCTATATCTTAGTCCTTTGCCTTGTTATTAGTTTTCCAGTATTTTTTTCCTCTTCTAGATTACCCTCTATTATTTAGTTATAACTTCCTCCATAATTGCAATCAATGAATAGTAATCACTTAATAAACATATCCTGACAGGTCTATTTTTGCACTGGGAAAAGATTAATTTTCTTTCTTATCACTCCAGTAAGCAATTACTCTTCTTACCTGAAGTAGCAAAGTGAAATGTAGTGCCTGGTATAGAGTTCTGCTCTGCTACGTACAGCATTTGAGCAAGTTTTTCTGTTGACCAAAAGATTTCAGACTAGGTGTAGCAATAAATGGAAATTCAGAGTAAATACACTCTCCTATGAGATTCACATTTTTCTGCTTGAAGTCTATACGGAGAAATTCTCAAATGTCTTCTGAGGTAAGCCTGGCCATTCATTGCTCCTGAAGACCTAACATGGGTATTCAAAGATTCAAACCATGTCCAGGGAAGGGAGAGATTCAACCTCTGCTCATATGCTATTTCACTCTGGTCTGGCCTGGCTTTGCCTTAGGACAAACAGACTGTGCATTTTGCCAGGTAACTTCCAAACAGGACTAAACCAGCAGCTTTGGATTAAAAAAAAATACATATTTTTTTTTAAAATTTAAAAATCAAGATTTTAATATATCGAATTTGCATTCCCGAATATTATCCTTTTAGGTGGACACTCCTCAGTGAGTAATTCTGACATTAAATGGTCTGTCAATCTTCAGTGGAAATCAAAACCGTAAAGGTAGTACTCTAAATTAAAATGAGTTTCTGTAAAATTTAAGTCCATTTTAGGTACTCACACTAATGTAGAAAAAACTCATCCTTGTTCCAAAGTATCAATTTACCCTAAGAAGAAATTTTCCAGTGGTAACTTCTAGCATTTTTTGTACAAATACAAAAAGTTTTCCCATCCTTCACCTCCAAACTCACTCTCCGTTTCAGCCCCATGTAGCACGAACCAGTGGGATCAAGCTGAGCTTTCCCTCTCCATTTCTAACATCAGGCTTTGTGCTTTTGTAAATGGCCTCACAATCGGGCCTCATGATACGAGCATATGAAAATTCTTACTAATACAGGCCTGTCACAAGAATATAGATCTGTCTACATACAACAGCCAACTTATGACTGCACAAATTTAATACATAATAACTAGAACGGCAAACTAAATTTTTTGCCCTAGTCTCATCTTTGCCACAGGCAGACCCACATTAAGTTTCAAGAAAATCTTTCTAACACAGACCAAACAAAACAAGCTTGTGCATAGTTTAATCACTTTAGCAGTATCGCCCTTCCTCTGATAAGAAAATTTGATTATACAACAATAACAGGGAAAATATTTATTTCACAGCTCTGAAAATTAGACCAAAAATCTCACTTCAGAGTTCACTAGTTCAGGTTGTAATTTTCAGAATTCTTTTAAGATATCAATACAAGGCATCTTTTTGTCTGCACAGTAATGAAGACACTAAATACACTAATTACCTCTAAACATAGGCATATTACTGAAAGATTATAAAGCAAAACAAATTTTGTGCAAAGCAGCAACTTTTAAAATAAGCAATTATTACACAATTTTTATGAACTAGGCATTTTGTAAATATCTGGGAAGTACTTAATATGAAAACAAAATGCCTGGATTAATCTAGCAGAGACACGTTGATACGATGGAAGTGAGAAAGCAATTGTGAAAAAACACTCTGCATCTATGCTGGTCACAAAGTGTTCAGTCATAAAAGCTTTGATTTGATAATCATATTAGCATAGTGTGGCGGAAGCATGCAGCACCACAACATGAAAGGATATGGCCCCAAAATATTTTTTTTTTTAAATTTAATTTTTTTTTTTTTTTTAGTTCTTATCTCCAATAAGAGTATACTTCTAGTTTCATGCATGTATCGGAAATGGTTTGTTTATCCAGGGAGAAATCAGAGGGCAATGAAAAAGAAAAACAGCTTGAGGGATGCAAGAACCTCACCATACTTTTAAGTAAAGAAATAACAATTCACTTGTAATAGAACTGTCCCATTAGGGTCCCTGATTGCCATGAAGAGCTCAATTGACCTACTCCTTTTCTTTGTTAAATTTACCACTTCAGGATAATTAAAACAATATGACCTTGGATTTAGACTCACTAGGTTTCTTTTAAGGTATACCCCACAGCCCTCCAAAAATTCTTTGGAGAAAAGACACTTGCTTGAATCTCACGTTGTCTCAGCAGCTGGATACTCTTGTTCCAGATACTTTGCTCAGACTTCTCAGAAGAGATGTGATCACTCAGAATTTCCCATTTTTGATTACAGCATAGGGAAAATAACAATTTTTTTCCTTTGTTTTCAATAACTTTACAAAACAATCCAGATACACTACCTGACTGCTTGTAGAGACAAAATAAAGAACTTCATTTAGGAACAACTAATTCCTCTTCAGAATAAATTTTCAAGCATGGTAATTGAGAGGATGGAACACCATCGCTTTATGTAAGTATAACCTTTTTGAACTTCCCAGGCTGACACACCCCAGCCGAGATGCAATCGTGTTAGTCACGGCACTCTGCGTGATGCCAGTGCTGTACTGAGCAGCACGCTATTAGGAAAGGGTACAGCAGCATGCTGCACTGCCGACAGGGCTCTCCCATGCTGGGATTGTCTATATGCGAACACCATGCCCACTGTCACAGCACAACACAGGGGAATGCTAGGGAGCTATTTCTGCCACACCAGGAACACTTATTCCTCCACAACTTGACCCCTGCTCTGTGTGGTGATGGTGGTGATGTGTTTCAGATGTGATGTATAATAGCAGGAGAGCACTGATGCATCAGACCAGGAAATTAAAAAGATGCCATTCACACAAAGGAATGTTTAGTTAAGTTTGAAAATCTTGGCTCTGACGATACTGTGATGGACCATTTGTTACATCTTTACTTACTAATGTTTATTTGCTGTGGAATTTGTGGTTGGGCTTTTTTCTCTACAAATCAGTTTGTTACTGATTTCAAGTGATTCCAAGAGCTCATCTGCATTTCACCCCACACATTTCGAGTCAGAGACGATATCTGAAAGCACTAGGGTCCTTAAAGGAACAGTCTATTACAATTCACAACAGTAACTATGTTTCTACGATTTATGAAAAGAAAGCAGTATGTGCCTGTTTCGGTGCCTGTCGTTTGCCTACCAATGGTGCAGTGCTCCCCATTCCAGCCCTCTCTGCATTCACATTTCCCATCTTTACAAGTTCCGTGCTCCGTACAACGGGGATGACACACGCGCTGGTCACACGCCACTCCTGTCCACCCTTCTTCACAGCGACATGCTCCGCCAATGCACACCCCGTGAGTGCCACAGTCTACAGAGCACACTTCTAGGAGAGGAAAAGAGCAAAGGTTACGGCTAGCTGATGTCAGCAGCAACGGGGCAGAAGCAGCAACCTACTCATGAAGGGAAAAGTAAGTAGAACACGTATGCTTTTGCTGAAAACTACATGCTGTCAAAAGCTGGTCTGCTCATATCCTGATCAAACCTAGCATTTAACTTTCGCTTAAAACCAAAGTAAATTATATTAAAAAGTTGCTTTAAAAAAACCCTGCTTATGCATGCTGGACAGACTGCTGTAGAGCTGCGTCCTCTATTCAGATACAAACAAGTTTCAGAGGTAGCTTCCTCAACACCTGTCAGCAGTGAAGAAGGGGAGCACACAGCTCTGTTTTACTCCAACCTGGACCTCTGGTGATTTTGGTACAGACCCTGATTTGCTAAGAATGAGACTGAAATGCACCTAAAACTCATTCAGCAGAGAATGGTGACAATTCAGGGTCACTCAGACTCCAGGAGGGATGGGTAAAAGACTTTCAAGGGAGGTATTCTGGAATCCTATTACTACATGGTCAGTTATCCAGTGTCTCACTCTGAAAATTCTTCTACTGCTCTCTGCCAGCTGAAGTTGTGGAAAAGCAGAGGGGTCTTCTGCCTCATCCATCATCAAAGAGATTGACAGTGAAACTCCCATTCATTAATTTTTCTGGCTGCTGACACACGAAGCGGAAAAACCACATCTTGATATTCATTTCACTGGTGGGGTATTCTAGGGCATTAATCTTACGAAATAACTGAGTAAAATGTAAATATTATTTTGAGACACTTGCTTATGGCCTACAGCTCCATTTCAAGGTTCACCTTACAATAAAATGCAAAATTCCCAGTATTTTTTCCCCCAAAATAGAACATTTGCTGTCTTGTCAAAACTGTTTTTTCTCTTTAGCTCCTTCTCTTACAACAATCAAGTTTTATAACTGGAGCTTGGGAGAAAATGAAATTTTTTAACTTCACTTTTGTGCCTGCTTTTTAGTCTCTCTTGCTCTAAAATTATTTTTTTTAATATTCCATGTACAACTGAAAAGGGAAAAATACCCTTTATTCGAAAAGAGATTTTTCTGGTTTATGATGTTTTTCACAAATGAGTAGCATTTTGATGCGCAGTAAAGCAACCCCCCCAAATTTACTTAATCATAGTGTTTTCCATTCCTCAAATGTTATATAAACATATTTATAAATTATAAATTATGGAAGTTTTCATTTACAGTTGGGAAAGACGTGAAGCACTTAAGCAACTTTTCAGTCCAAACGGGGGTCAGTATTAGAACAAAACACAAACTCCTAACCTGCATCCCCCTTGCCCCCCCATCTGACAGTCCCAAATTAAGAATGTCTCAAAAAATGGTATCTAAGATATACACACACCTCTTCCCAACATAACTAAACAGGACCAAACACGTTCCAAAGACAATTTTCTAAATTATTTGCATTTCAAACTTGCCACGGATACTGACATTTTAACCAAATAAGAACAGTATTACAAAATCAGGAAAACATAGTTTTCTTACCAACGGAGCAGTCAGGACCCATCCAGTTGGGATCACAGCTACAAAGACCTGTGTCAGACAGGTAGGTACCGTGCCCACTACACTGGTCTGGGCACTGGGCTCTGGGAAGCTCACAATTTATTCCACCCCAACCCGGGCTGCAGAGACATTCTCCATTCACACAGACTCCATGGTTGGAGCACGTTGGATCTAAGCAATCAACTACAGAAGAAAAGAAAAACAACGTAGAGAAAGGTCAGTTCACACAATACGATGTTTGCAAAACATGCAGACGCGTGCTCTGGAAAGTTTAAACCACTCTGATAAATGAAGCAAACTGATGTAGCTCTTCAAGTCATTTTAACACCTGGTCTGAGAATGGGAAAGTGAGAAGTAATTTGTGTTTTACATTAGCTCCAAATAAAACAGGGTGTGACTGAACAACAAAAGCTTACTGCAGGAAT